GCCGAGCTGGAAGAGCTGGGTAAGTGCCCCCCCCCCCGCCCCCCCCTCTGCGTGTGCCTCCCCCCCCCCCCCCCCCCCCGGGGGTTCCCCAGGCGCCGCGGCCAGGAGCCTGCGCGACCCTCCCCACCCCGCCTTCAGCCACCCCCCAACTGCGCCCATGGGGCGGCTGCTGTTGCTTCCCTCCCTCTGCTACGCCCCCCCACCCCCTCCCTTCTCCCCAGGGCTTGCTTCAGCCCTAGGTCGTCCTCCTGGGGAGGGGTCTATCGCTCCCCCCAACACCGATAAAATAGGCTCGAGACCCTCCCCTGCAAGGGAGGGAGCCCCTTTCTGCCAGCTTCTCCACCCTCCCTCTAACCCCCCCAGGGTGCTGGGAAGAGCCCAGGATGCCTTCTGCAGGTTCCTGGCACATGCAGTGCCCCTCCTGTTGCGCCCCCTCCCCAAATAACCCCTTCCTGGTTCATCAGGGATGGCGCAGAGCCAAACTCCTGGTGAGGGAGGCACCCTTGCCCTCTGAGGGCCTGCTTGGCCCCATGGCCAAGGCCTGCCCCCAGGCGCTCCGTTCCCTGCCCTTGGTCCACACCCCTCCTCGGCCTCCAGCCCACCTTCCAGGGATACAGACTGAAGATGCCCGCCTGACTGCCTGGCATCAGCACGGAAATAAAACCCGGTGGGCGTCCTCCGCATGGTTTTGAAAGCTGATGCTGGCACTGGGTAAGAAGGACTGTCCACTTCGCTTCGTGTGCGATGCCTCCTTTTGTTTAACATTGAATGAGGCTATTTTTGAGTTGCTTCTTCCACGGTTCTCCACTCAATTTGCAGCTGCTCTTTTGCCCTCTGAAGAAACGGAGGGAGGGGATTCTGCCTCTTTGGACTTTCTGGCAATTCAGGACGGGGCAGCCGGGTTCAAATGCTACCACAACAGTCTCCCCCTCCCTTGGAGCTCCTCCCTTTCCTTCCCTCTCGGGGGTTCACAGCAATCCAGGCAGTTTCAACCCCCCACCCCCAGTGAAAGGATTCGGGGGCCTTTCAAGAGCTGAGCTCAGAGTCCCTCTGCCTGCCTGGGTGAGGGGCAGGGGGGGCAAGAAGGGCTTCTGGTTGAGCCGGGGGGGGGGAAGAGACTTCCTTCCCACCCACTGATGATGCTAGTTGGGACCAGAGCAGGAGCCCCCTCCCCGGCATTGGCCCCCTAGGCCAGCCCTGCAAGAGAGCGGGGTGCTTTCCTCCCTTGAGGAGCTGGGTCAGGGGTGACCAGCTATGGGAGGGGAGGGGCGTGGGTGGGGGAGGGAGAAGGTGCCCCTCCAGAAGGAGTCCAGACTTGTAGCTGGAGTGACGTGTGTGTGTGTGTGTTGAAGGGCTTGCAGAATTAACAAGGGGGCATTTTCCAGAAGAGAGGAAAGGGAGGAGCCTGGCTGACCAGGCCACCAGCTACTTTTCCCAACTGGCGATTCAGCTGAGGAAGGGGAGGTTAAGCTGCACCTCCTGGTACCCATTGCTCCAGGCAGGGCCCCCTTGCTGCCCCCCTGGTCCCCTCCTCTGGTTCACCATCTTTTGGGATGGACAAAAGGAGGCTCCCTGATGAGGCTGAGCCCCAGAGTGGCCTCATCCTGCCCTCTGCAAGGTTTGGGGCTCTCTGAGCTCGGCTGTTTCCTTGCAGGCGCCTCATCACCCAGCGAGGGAGCCTCATCCGGGCCAGGAGGGCTTTGCTGTGGGCCGAGGGAGCATCGGTCAGCTCTCAGCCAGAGGGGAAAGGTCCCGCTCTCTTGACCGGGTGGCGCAGTGGTTGGAACGAGGAACTGCAGGCAAACTCTGCCCACAGCCTGGAGTTCGATCCTGAAGGGCTGGAGGTGGACTCAGCCGTCCGTCCGTCCGTCAGCACCCAGATGGTGGGGGGAAATATGCAAATAATGCAGCCACTGCAAACTGCCCGGAGGGTGACGTAAAGCAGCACCTATATATATATATATATATGCTAAGTCTTAAGCCCTGCTGCTATTTTTGCTGTTGCCACGGCTCCTGCCCCCTGGGCGTCTCCCCTGAGCAATCGGGACCTCCGGGTCAACCTTGGGCCAGGCCATGGGGCTAGGGGCCAGCTCTTGGTGGGCGATATTTCACCAGGGTTCTGCTTCCCGCATGGAGGCCTGGACAACTGACCACCAGGCTGGAGAAGACAAGAGAATGGATGCTGGGGAGGGCAAAGCACGGGCAGGGGCAACGGTGCCTGGGGGTGGGGGTGGAGCCCCCTCTTCCAAGCCCACGAGGGCAGCCGAGAGCCTGGAGGGAGGCTGGAAGCGAAGAGAGTGGGGGGTGGGCTGGGGGTCTGCTCTGCACTCACCTTTCTTCCGAACCACGTCTTCCGACTCTGGCTTGCGACTGACCGAGACCACTTTCATCACCAGGTGGTTTCCCCCCTGGCGGATGAGCGAGACCACCTGCTTGTGCCCCACCTTCACCACATTCACTCCGTTCACCTGTGTGGCAAGGAGAGAAGGGATGAGAGGAGGAGGGGCCGGCCCCGTCTCCTGGGATCCCCCCACCTTTGCAGGCAACACCTGGCCACAGGTATCCCTCAGCACAGGCAGGAGGAGCACCAGGCCTCTGCTCCTCACCGCTGCCCCCAGGAGAGGCTGCGCAGGCGCCCCAGAGCACCCCAGGACCTCCCCCCTGGCTCTGCCTTCTCCGGATGCGGCTGGGCTTACGGCTCGGAACCGGTTCAGACGGTTCTGTTTCGGTTTCCAGCTGTTGAAGCCCTAAAAGATCCACTTTAGCAAAGAATATTTAATGGCCCCAATAACCTTCAAACAAGCGTTCCAAGAAATCGCAGGAAGTGATTCAATCTTGCACTATAATGTTCTATTCATCCGTTCAAGCAACGGAGAACAATTTTTGTTTTCTCTGAGCTGAAATAATGACGTATTATTTATATTCAGTTCGTTAAGTTTTTCCTGGTGGACAAAAGAGAGGAAAGAAAGACAAAAGGGAGAGAAAAAGAAGAGAGAGGCGCCACCAATTCACTCCCACGGAGGGTTTGGTTGGGACGGGGAGAGTTTCCAGCTTTTTGGGGTGGCCCCACATGCCACCTGCACCCTCAAGGGGCAAGAGACCCCCCCCCCCCGTCCTCCTGGCTGCTGCCCACGGCCAGCGCCTTTTCCTACTACTCAGAGGAAACAAGAGGGCAGCCCTTAGAACACTAACAACTCTTCCAATTGGGCATTTCCTGGAGAAAACTGAGGCGTTTCACAACCCAACTAGGTAACATCAGCAGGGCCAGAAGGGAGAGGTTTCATTCTCTGCTGACAGATGGGTCCTTCGCCCTGCCAGTGTTGGGGGGAGGCTTCTTGGGGGGTTCCCTGATTGCATTCTGGCTTACTGTTAAGTCAGAGGTGGCACTTCCTCCACTGGGGAAGAAGCAGAGCGCAAACCCCACCCCATTCTGGCACTGATGATGTCACCTCCTTGGCTCATAAAACATCTGCAAGAAAACTGCCAAGATCAGAGGGTAGCAAGAACCCCACAGTTCTCCTCCTCCTCCTCCTCCTCCCCTCTAGCACTGATGATGTTACCCAGTTGGGTCATGAAAGGTCTGCCAGAAAACAACCAAGCTCAAGAGTAGGAAGACCTCACAGTCTCCCCCCTCTCTGCAACCCCCCCCTCTTCTAGCCTTGAAGATGTTACCTAGTTGGGTCATGAAACATCTGCCAGAAACCCACCAAGCTCAGAGAGCCCCCAGGGCCCCCAGTTGAACCCCGAGCTACAAATATTCTCCTTTGTGGCTCCTCCGAGTCCTCCTCCCAGCTGATAGTCCCAGCCCCAGGGACCTGTGGGTAGGAAATGCAAATGCACACGCACGGCTGAACCCCCTAAGTGCAATGGGCGTGCAGCCCCTGCACACGCGCCCCACTCCCTATGCATGTGCACTCCCCCTGCGTGTGCCCCACCCCTGCGCATGCACCCTCCCACATGTGTGCATGGTCCTGCACCACCACCACCCGGCCCTTGCGCATGCACAGTAGGGACCTGGAGAGCAGGTGGATGGCAGGAGGTGTGCACACTTGCGCAGCGGAGCTGAACTGGAGCAACGGCTTGCATGCCACCAGAGAAGGCGCTGTGTGCCACCTCTGGCATCCATCCCATGGGTCCCCCATCACGGTTCTAGGCTGCCACTCAAGGGGCTCCTTTTGAAAGCTTCCACTGAATCGGTGGCCGTGGTGGGAGAAAGGGCGGAAGGCCAGGGGGGCAGAGGAGGAGGTGGCCGTATCAGGCTCCCCCTTTCCAAAGAATATTATTAGTCCATCGTTTGATGCAGAGGGGAAATTGGGGGGGGGGAGGAAGTAATCAAGGATTGTTTGAACAAACAAGAGGCACGGAACAGAGGACAAGGATCAGCCTGGCAAGCTGACCCAAAATGCCATTTCGGAACCGGATCCAGTCCTAGAACCAAGGTTTGTCTCAGGGGAGGAGGGGGAGGAGGAGGAAGAGGGCCCATCGCTGCTCATCCCAAGTCGGCCGGTGGACACAAACAGAACCTGAAACCAATTAGTGGCTCCTGAGGAGCAGAGAGAGGGCGATGCTCAAGGAAGTGAGCCAAGGCGCCCGAGGACCAAGCCTCCTTCCCTTTCTGGCCAGTCTCTGGGCCATGGGGAATGGGGGTGGGGGTGGGGAGCCCAATGGTGTAGAAGCGACTGGACGGCTGTTGGACTGGAACTCGGAGGTCTTCTATTCCAGCCCCCCTGCTTAGGCAGGAACCCCTAGACCATTTCAGACAAGTGACTGTCCAGTCTCCTCTTAAAGGCCTCCAGTGATGGAGCACCCACGACTTCTAGTGGCAAGCTGTTCCACTGGTTAATCGTCCTCCCTGTTAAGCAGTTTCTCCTTAATTCTCCAGTCCTCCTCCCCTCCTGCTTAGCCTGGACCTGTCAGCCGTTGCGCTCTTTCAAAGGGGCGAGTTGAACCAGGGGACGGGCAGGGAAGGCCGAAGGGGCCCCAGGCTCCAGTTTGAGATATGCTGGGAAGACGCTTAGCGAGGAAGGGTGTGCGTGGCAGGGAGGCAGGCTGGCCTCCCTTCAACCGATGGGAGATGAGGAGGAGAGTTTATGAAATGTATTTGCTGCCTGACTCTGGGCGGTCAATCTCTGGCCCTTTGGCCTCTGACCAAGGGGGACATTTGTAGCTCAGAGTTCCCAGGAGGGATCCCTGGGGGTCTCTGAGCTGGGGGGGTTTCTTCCAGACGTTTCATGACCCACCTAGGGAACATCATCAGTGCTGAGTAAGAAACGTCTGCAGGAAAACCACAAGCTCAGAGGGCATCAAAGCCCCTCTCCTCCTCCTCCTCCTCCCCAGCACTGATGATGTTCCCTAGGTGGGTCATGAAACATCTGCAAGAAAACCCCCAAGCTCAGAGGGTGCTAAGGACCCTTCACTTCCGCATCTTGGTGCTTATCTCAAGGCCACGAGACTTCTGGGCACTTTCTGGCCCTTGGCAGCCTTTCAGGTGGGGCCAGGCTGACCCCCCCCCCGTCCCCCCGAGGTCCCCCAGTGACAATCCAACCTTCTCCAACCCCGGGGGCCTTGCAACGGCTGCCTCCCTCGGCAGCAGCTTCTGCTAATGACACGCCTCGCTTTAATTTCTCTCAAGGAAATGAAACATTGGTTCAAAATAGAAATGGTTCCTTCAATGTGCTGAATGTCATTTCTCCTCGGCACTGTGGCAAAAATAACTGCTTTTGCGCATTGGGGAGGAAAAAAAAGAAATATTTCCAGCAGCAGCTTCCAAAGGAAAAAAAGAAAGAAAAAAAAGGCATTTTTAAATCCAAAGGTCTGATCTGAAAGAGGTTTAATCCAGCTAACCTAGGCCAACCCAACATCTGCCGGGGATGATGGGAACTGGAGTCTCCTTGCTGGCTCTGCATCCTTCAAGCCCCCGGGGGCTGCCTTGCAGAAGGTGGGATGCATCCCTCTGGAAGGAGCAGGGGCTGCACAGCCTCCTCCACCCAGAAGAATAACTTCCCCTGTCCGGAGGTCCGAATGCCAACCTCCTCCAGCCTCTGGCCCCGGCCGAGGATTCACACAACTGGGAAAAGCTGGCTCAGTTCCCTCGTGGTGGACTCAGCCTTCTGTCCTTCTGAGGTGGGATACACGAGGACCTGGATAGTTGGGGGGCAGAGGCTGGAGAGGGCTGGAAAGCACGGGGAAGCGGGATGTAAGTCTAAGCGCTATTGCTATTGTCCTGTATCCAGATCTCACTTTGACCAGGCAGTCCAGGCAAGATCCAAGGAAGTTTGTCCTCCAGCTGTTGGAATGACCATCAACCTGCTTCCAAGCCATCACGCCCTCTCCCGCGAGAGCTCTGTGGGGCCATTTACACCAAGGGAGCCCAATCTTGGCAACTTGAAGACTCAAGGACTTCAACCCCCAGAATTCTCCAGCCAGTCATGGCTGACCAGGCAGTGAGGACATATACAGATTCACAGAGTTGGAAGGGACTTTGGAGGTCATCTAGTCCAACCCCCCACCCAAGCAGGAGACCCTACACCGTTTCTGACGGAAGACAGCCCAGTCTCTTCTTGAAAGCCTCCAGTGAAGAAGCTCCCACAACTTCCAAAGGCAACTTCTGTTCCACTGGTTGATTGCTCTCACTGTCACTCTCACTCCTTATTCCCAGGTTGAATCTCTCCTTGGTCAGTTTCCATCCGTTATTCCTTGTCTGGCCTTCGGGGGCTTTGGAGAACAGGTTGAGCCCCTTCCTCCTCTCTGGGGCAGCCCCTCAAATATCGGAAGATGCGCTCCCCTGGTCCTTCTTGTCTTTAGACTAGCCATGGCCAGTTCCTGCAACCGTTCATCGTATGTTTTAGCCTCCAGTCCCCTCATCATTCTTATTTTAATTTTTATATATGCTCTTTTGTCTTGTCTGTGAGCCGCCCAGAGCCCCTAGGGAGTGGGCGGCATACAAATGTCAATCAATCAATCAATCAATCAATCAATCAATCAATCATCCTGGTTGCTCTTCTCTGCACTCTTTCAAGAGTCTCAGCATCTTTTTAATAGTGTGGTGACCAAAACTGGATGCAGGACTCCAGGTGTGGCCTTACTAGGGCTTCATAGAGTGGTATTTGTACCTCCCTTGATTTTGATTGCATCCCTCTGTCAATGCAACAGGATTGCATTGGCTTTTTTGGCTGCAGCCAGATGTGGTTGGCTCCTCTTTAGCTCAGAATAGGACTAGTGGAATCCCTCTGATCAGTCCTGTCTAAAAAGCTGTTGATTAATTGATTACACGCATTAATTCTTGACTCTTAAGTCACCCCGCAGGTTTTCTCCATGATGTTCTGGCCCTACCTTGGTCCTCTGCCTCTTCCCAGGCTGCCCTAAGAGCCAAGGTGGCGCAGTGGTTAAATGCAGCACTGCAGGCTACTGCTAGA